ATATTTGGTTGTCTCTTATTGTCCTTCCTAACTTCAATGTCTTAACGTATCAATTAGCCTAAAGTATTATATAATAATAGCTAGTCCTTATGATCAATCCGTTTATAAAAGCTATTGAAGAATAAACCGAATGTGAAATATGATCCTTGCATAATGATCAACTAAACAAGCTAGCACTCATTATATATATATATATATATATATATATATATATATATATATATATATATATATATATATATATATAAACTATAAATAAAAAATGAAAGAATTGTTAAGTAATGGAACATTATGTAAAAAAATGTAAAGACTACAGGCTAAATAAAAGCACCTCGTCAGAGCTAAACATCACCGCACGCGTGTCAGTTTACAGCTTCTGTAAAGATCAGACAATCAGATCACACAATCTCAATAAACAACATGTAATGTAGGCTATTGTTGTGATGAATCAAAAGGCATTGAATCCATTTGCAAGCTTAATTGAAAGCACACATACAAGCAACAAACAGGGACAAACCAGGAATCAAAACGTGGGCTAGCAGAGTTCAGGGCAGGCAGATGTCTTTCTCAAACGAAGTAACAGTCTAGAGTTCAAGGCAGGCAGATATCTTACTTGGTCAGAATAACATGCTAGAGTTCGGGGCAGGCAGATTTCTTTCGTAGTCGTTCAGTCTAACAAAGGGTCAGAACACAAATTAATCAGAGAAACAATGTGGAAAAGGCTCGGTGATGACTGCAGGGCAAATCAAGACTTCGCATTGAACCAGAGCGTGAGTGTGGTATATATGCGCTGGGATGATGAGAGGCACTTGGACCGCAATCACTGACTGGTAGAAGGGCTTAAGGGAATTTGAGTCCGTGAGTCGAATTAGAATTCGGGCGATGGCTCCCTCTGGTGGTGCATGAGAGGATTGGCATCGCCCTCATTTACAACAGCTATATAAATATTTCAATAAGTATTGTTATGGAATATTTATAATGATATGATCTTGCTTTTGGTTATAACGATACCAGCTTTGAGCTCTGTCACTGTCAGTGGCGGAATACACAGCATACACGGGCAAGATTTTTATTATTAATTTTATTTGTTGCCAATTTGCGTGTTGTTCCTTTTTTTGAAATACCTTTTATTTTTAAAATCCCTCAAGTAATGTTGTCTATTGGGTAACATAATCTCCCTCAGAGATGTTAGAATTAAATAACGTGGTGCGCAGTGACCAACACCACCCTGTAAGTTTACGGACTGCACAGACTGTAGGTCTACAGCTCTGGTGTGTTATGAATTGCATGTTTTAAATGACAGCTTGACATGCTACTTTTCGTTTTTATTGTAAAATATACATTATAACCCAGTACACAGTAAAATAATATTTTTTGAATGGCTTGCCTATATTGGCGGCGTATAGGCTAACCGTTAAGCTTAAATAAGCAGAGCATATTTTTATTAATATTAAAACACATTACTACAAATTAGCCACCCTTTGATTTTTTTCATTTACGTATATTTTTATCAAATGAAAAATGCAATGAATAGTTTATTTTGGTTTTCATTTTATTAAAAATAATATAATTTATAGGCTACACAGCTCCTCCATAACATTGGCTCCAATTGCGTTTTGACAGATAAAGATATATATATATATATATATATATATATATATATATATATATATATATATAGACTTATAGATATAGACTTTCTGGCCCAAAGACATTTATGCCTGTTAATTTCAGTGCTGTATTTAGACAGATTTAGCAAAGGCTTCAGCTATTCTACCTGTCAGCTGCACCAGTCTCAGTTTTGCGACTTGACTCGTTAGGCGTCTGTGTCTGGATGACAGCGAGAGAAAGATGATATTGCAATTTTTAATATAGGCTCATCTAAATAAACTTCATTTATTAAAAGCCGAAATACCGCCTGACAGACGAAGCAACTTTCGGTTTTTGAAGAGATCGTCCTCAGTGATAAAAGACGCGTGCACTCACAGGTTAGCCTACACTCTTGTTGGCCTATTCTTTATGGATTTTTTTAACATTAAACGCATAATGATTAAGTGCAAAAAAGTACAGCTGAACTTCAGAAAAAGTTGTTACCGCGATAGTTGCTTTGTTTTTCTGCAGTTGGCTTATAAATGGCGCGTGATTGCTTAATCACTCTTGTTTTAATTAAAAAAAAGATAATGTATTATTAAACATTGTAAGATGATGGTCACGTGACCAAATGAGAGTATGCGTTGAGTATTTATGGCTATTGATCTTATCTACCCGCGACCCACCCATAGTTGAACATCAAGTACGTGTGCTGAAAGTGCATGTATAAATTAGTTGTGTTTCCTCCAACTGCTGCCAATTTTGTCAGGCAAAGTTTGCAGATTGCCTCATTACCGTCTTCAGGTTCTCTTTTTGCATTTGGTTTGAACCCAAAATATTGCCAAACAGGCGCTTTTGCATTGCGTTTTGACACTTAATTGTCTGCCATCCTCTTTCTGTAAATTTGACTCCTCTCGTTCTCTTCATGTGATAAATGAAATATGACGCATTGTAGCTATGTTCAGATGATAATTATAGTGCATGCTCTCATCTTAAGTAAATTATTTAGAATTATGTTTCCCATTTAATTCAAATAAATATGAAAAAAAAAGAATACTTAAAAAAACAAATGTGGAGAAGGTGTCACGGTGGCAAAGTGATGTCGCCGGTGTTGTGTCTAAAAACCGGTATCACCATCTACACCGTCTATAGTGGAAAGCCTACTTATAACCTCATCAGAATAAGGCAAGGGGACGAATGGAAGACTAGCTTTTCTACTGTAAATGGTCACTATGAATATTTGGTTATGCCCTTCGGCCTAGCAAACAGTCCTTCCATCTTCCAGGCTTTCATAAACGAGGTATTTAGATTTAGATTTCTATTCCAATTCCCTTGAAGAGCACACCAACCATGTCAAAGCGGTCTTGAAGAGGCTCATAGAGAATCAATTATACGCTAAGTTATCCAAGTGTGAGTTTTACCAGACCTGTATCTCGTTCCTAGGCTATATTATCAGCGGAGAGGGCGTGGCTATGGTTGAGAGGAAGGTGGATACAGTCATTAACTGGCCCAAACCCAAGACTGTAAAGGAGCTACAACGTTTCCTGGGATTTGCAAACTTCTAGCGAAGGTTTATAAGAAATTTCAGTACAGTAGCCTCCCCGCTCACTTCCAAGGTCCGAGGAGGCAGGACCCGATTAAGTTGGAGCAATAACGCAAATTGGGCATTCAACCACCTCAAATCCCTTTTCTACTCTGCCCCAATCCTCTGCCAACCTGATCCTAATTTGCCATTCACCCTTAAAATTGACACATCCAACACTGGCATTGAAGCCGTACTATCCCAGAAACAAGACAACTCAAAGAAACTCCATCCTTGCGCCTTCTTACGCAAACTCAATTCTGCTGAAAGAAACTAGGATGTGGGTAATCGTGAACTTCTCGCCATAAAGGCAGCCATGGAGGAGTGGAGACACTGGTTGGAAGGCAAGGCAAGGCAAGGCAAGTTTATTTATATAACACATTTTATACACAGTGGCAATTCAAAGTGCTTTACATAAACAAGAATAAAAGAAACAAGTAAAATAAAAATAAAAACAAATAATATAAATAATAAAAAAGGTAAAAACAGGTAAAATGTGATATAAAAGAATGAAGAAGAAGAGAAAAACATAATAGTGCGATCTGTCGGACGCAGCACAGTGCTCATTTAGTAAAGGCACAGCTCAACAGATGTGTTTTCAGTGTTGATTTGAATGTGCCTAATGTTGGAGCACATCTGATCATTTCTGGTTGCTAATTCCAGCAGCATTTAGTGATTTATAGACAAGTAATAATACTTTAAAGTCTATTCTGAATGTAACTGGCAGCCAGTGTAAAGACCTGAGGACAGGTGTGATGTGTTCTGATTTTCTGGTTCTGGTCAGAATTCTGGCTGCAGCATTCTGGATGAGTTGCAACTGTCTGACTGTCTTTTTACGAAGGCCAGTGAGGAGTCCATTACAGTAATCCACCCTAGTGCTGATAAAAGCATGAACAAGTTTCTCTAAGTCTTCACTGGAAACAAAGCATCTGATTCTTGCAAATTTTTTGAGATGATAGTATGCTGATTTATTAACTTACATGACTATTGAAACTCAGATCTGACTCCAGAGTCACACCAAGATTCTTGACCTTATTTTTTGTTGTTTGACCCATAAAGCCAAGGTACACATTCACCTTGAGAACCTCATCTCTGTTCCCAAACGCAATGACTTCAGTTTTCTCTTTGTTTAACTGAAGAAAGTTTTGGCACATCCAACTGTTAATTTCATCAATGCATTGGCAGAGGGTGTCAATGGGGCTGTAGTCATTAGGCAGTAAGGCTAGGTAGATCTGAGTGTCATCAGCATAGCTGTGGTAGGAGATTTGGTTCTTTTTTATTATTTGGCTCAGATGGAGCATGTAAAGGTTGAACAAGAGAGGTGCCAGAATCGAGCCTTGTGGGACTCCACATGTCATTGGTGTCCACCTTGACCTGTGGTCACCTATACTGGCATGGTAACCTCTTCCTTCAAGGTAAGATCTAAACTATTTGAGGACCGTGCCAGACAGCCCAACCAGAAGTATGCTGTGATCGACAGTGTCAAATGCAGCTCTGAAATCGAGCAGTACCAGCACTGTTAGCTTGCCTGAATCTGTATTTAGGCGGATATCATTGATTATCTTTTTAAGAGCACTCTCTGTACTGTGATGTGCTCTGAAACCAGATTGAAAATTGTCTAAACACCCCTTCAAGTTTAAAAACTTGTTAACCTGGTTGAAAGCAACTTTTTCAATGATTTTGCCAATAAAAGGGAGATTTGAGATTGGTCTGTAATTGCTCAATAGGGTGTTATCCAGGTTGCTCTTCTTCAAGAGGGGTTTAACAACTACAGTTTTAAGTGAGTTTGGAAAAATCCCTGATAGAAGAGAAGCATTTACCACTTTTAGAAGATCCATTTCTAAACAGGTAAACATCGTTTTGAAGAATGATGTGGGGAGAATGCAGGTTGAGAATGCAGGTTGACTTGAGGTTGATGTTTTCATAACTTGCACAGTCTCTTCCATTAATTGCCAAGAAATCAGACATAATGCTACTCTGACCCATGCCTGCTATTACGATCCTTGATTGCCAGCCACCAGCCTATCGACCTTGCATTACTGCGTTTGATGTGAGTTCGGACACTAGTGCATACTCTGTGCTTCCCAGGTAGTAAAGAATTCTGGCCCAGATTTGGCACAAATCTGGCACATCAGGCATTCATCTGGCACTGGCATACAGCATGTGGGCCAAACATGGTTCAGGTTTGGCAGAGGTGGCACCGTCTTGAAGGCGGCAGACAAGACATGGGCCAGATGTCAAATGTAGTATTTGGCCCAGATGTTCAAAACTGATCTGTGGCCCACATAAGGTTGGCCTTTCTGGTACCACATTTAAAATACATAAAAATATTTTTTCGAGTAAAAAAATATTTCAATACGCAGTCATTCCATCTTCCGCTTGCATCTTCTAATGCCTTTATTTTAATCTAGGAAACAATCAAGATTGAATTATTTGAATTAATCTATTCCTTTCTTGTATGTTGCAACTAAATTTACCCTACATTACATATTTTTTTTATTATTCAAATTATTATTTTGCTAATTATATTATTATTAACCAATGATGATATACCATACAAACGGGAGTGTTAAAATGTTAAGTCAATTGTTTTTGTGCTGCTTGTCTCATGCACAAACACCAGAAAAAATTCAAAAATCCAAATCTACCAATCAGGTTGCTTTGAGTAAAAGCGCGCCCGTAGCGCGCCTAATGCGCAATGCTTTATGGGTTTATCAATATGATATTGCAGTCATGACCATTGGACGGGCAGCCGCTTGTACACACTTCACAAACGGTCATGGATCTAACTGGAGCAAGGCATTTTGGTAAGTAATAATTGGATTTCTAATATATTGTTTCAGATCAGTTATCAGTTTCATCGTCGGAAATGTAAATGTCATCGGCGTGGTTGTCAGTGTATACCCATAAGCTCGATAAATATTCTTTAACGTTAGCTAAAGTTAATTTATCTCATGTTAAGTGGCACATCATGATAAATAAACTCCAAAATAATATGTAAATTAACAGAAAACGGCATCACACAATTTAAGGATATTTATTCGTTTTGTTTATCCTTATCGAACGTTACTGAGATTATGTCATTAAAAGTTGGACCATTTTCGCGCTGTGATGTTAACCCATAGCCCTTGCAAAGTTGCTGTTTACGTAATAAAGCGAGAGATGAAGGGCATTTCAAGCAAAAACATAATGATCACTTGGAATGATTCAAAATGTATTCTAAAATCACACCCCTCTCCAGCACGCACGCACGCACGCATGCATGCATGCATTGGAAAGGGAGATCTTTCATGTATTATATTTGTATTATGAACAAAAAAGCCTAAATTATGAGGAAATATGCTTAATTAGTGTACAATTACTCTCCTCAAATGGTTCCAAATCTTTATAATTTTTTTTATTTTTTTTTATTAAACACCAAATAAAATGTTTTGAAAAAAGCAGAAAACATATATTTGACTTTCATAGTAGGAAAAACTAATAGCAACAAATACAAGAGTTAATTTTTCTAATAATGTTTTTAAAAAAATGTGCTTGTCAATAACAGTAAAAACACAAAAAAAAAAAAAAAAAACAAACAGAATAACAGTTTGACTTAGGGCTGCACGATTAATTGTATTATTTTCATGAGAACTAAATTTGTGGCCACCAATCAATAATTAAAAATCGCGATTTTACATTATAAAAACCAAGAAATGTTTATAGAAAAAGGTGGAGAAAATGCGCTGTTTAGTTCCACCTCAAAATATTTAAATAAAACTAACACCGAACTGCTCAGCACGCCCAAAAAGTTCAACTAAATGCACAACTTGGTTGCACCCGGCGGATGCACAATGAACCAACACAACATTTTATTTTATTCAATATTTGTGAAGTAACCAACCAATTAGGCATGGGCCGGTATAAGATTCTGGCGTTATGATAACCTTGGATAAAAAATTTTAATGTATCACATTATTGTGATTACTGCTCTAAAATATAATCTCTTTAAATGTCTGGGTAAAAAACAAAACTTTTTCCCATTTGAACACAATATATCTTGAGAAACATTTATACAATTTTGGAGCAGTAAACATGTCAGGCTAAATAATTAAAATAAATCATTGACTTCTGCCGTCTTAATTAGTTTCAAAAACAATTCATACCTTAGGAATGGTATTGCAGAAATTTTTTTTGGCAGTTTTAAAACCTTTAGTTTTCCAAACCACTGTATAACTTGAAAACAGTTATCGTCCCATGCCTACTGCAGATACTTTGTCATGTTGGTCACGACACTCTGCTTTCTAACTTACTAGTTTATTACAATAATTGCACTTAGCTTTGCCATCGTTCTTCACCACATGTAGTCACTCTTTTGAGTACAATTTGCAGTCCATCTCTAAACAAAAGTTTAGATTATTATTGAAAGTGCTCTCCAGCGGTGAAGTTCCTGGCAGAGTAGCGAGTGAAAAAAATGTGCATGCAGAAATTGGACAAGAAATTGAAATCTAATCCCCACCCAGTTTTTTACAAGTTGTGTTTTTTTTTATAGTTGTGGCTGTGAAGTTTAATATTCATTCATTCATTTTCTTGTCGGCTTAGTCTCTTTATTAATCTAGGGTCACCACAGTGGAATGAACCACCAACTTTTCCAGCAAGTTTTTATGCAGCGGATGCCCTTCCAGCCGCAACCCATCTCTGGGAACCATTCACACACACTTATACACTACAGACATAGTAATAATAACTAATTTCTAATAGCTGATTTATTTTCTCTTTGTCATGATGACAGTAAATAATATTTGATTAGTTGTTTTTCAAGACACTTTTATACAGCTTAAGGTGACGTTTAAAGGCTTAACTAGGTTAATTAGGTTAACTAGGCAAGTTAGGATAATTAGGCAAGTTATTGTGTAACGATGGTTTGTTCTGTAGACTATCGAGGAAAAATTGAGCTTAAAGGGGCTAATAATTTTGTCCCTAAAATGGTGTTTAAAAAATTAAAAACTGCTTTTATTTTAGCTGAAATTGAACAACTAAGACTTTCTCCAGAAGAACAAATGTTTTCAGATATACTGTGAACATTTCCTTACTCTGTTAAATATCATTTTGAAAATATTTAAAAAAGTAGAAAAAAATTCAAAGGGTGCTAATAATTCTGACTTCAACTGTATGTATATATCACAGCCACAACTATAAGAAAACACAACTATAAAATATATATAAAGAAATAATCATCATTTTTTAATCGTGATTAACATTTTTAACAAATTAATCGTGATTATAATAATTTTTTTTTTTTTTTTTTGTTATTGTGCAGCCCTAGTTTGACTAAATGTAGTTATTGAGTAATGAGAAAAGGCTGATAATTAGTTTTGGACTTCAAACATTTGAATTAAATTGTATGTGTGTGCTTGCTTTTTTCTAGATTAAGGATTCTATTGTGTCACTCATTAATTTTATAAACTGTGCTTGCTCCATCTAATTTTTCTTTGACAAATTATGTAATGACCGCAAATGAGTGTTTTGGTTGTTTTTCATTTTTTTAATTAAATAAAAAGGAAAAAATATGTCTTTATACATTGTTTAGTTAGTTTATAAATAAAAACTAAGGGCTGCATTTTCCTGCTTCAGCTTCTTTAATTTCAAATTAAAACTAAATATTAAAATGTACAAGCATCTTGTTATCTCATCCATTCACTTCTGATTTTCTTGATCGTTTTTGTTTGGTGTGTGTGCATTTTTGTGTAATGTTCTATTTTGTTTTGTTTCAGGTGGTACAAAAGACCAGAGTAAAGCCACGGTATGGAAAAGACTTGGATGTACAATGATGGGGCAATTCAAGAAGAAGGGCATTAAGGCTAGTCAGTAAAGAGATGTCAAATGAGCACCATAGGGAAGGAAACATAAATGACGAGTCAAATATTGATGTTGATGATTTGGAGGAATCTGACATGCAAAATGGTGATGAAAGTGATGAGGATTTAGTTTATGACATTCAGGATAAAGAAGTGTATGAAAAGACTGCAGCTTCTATTGAAGATCTGCCTGATCTTGGAGAACAGTGTAGTGAGATGGGTGGTGATTTGCAAAGTTCTGTGGCAGACTGGGCAATTGAATTTGGAATATCTCTAATAGCTTTAACAGCGCTTCTCAGCATTCTCAAAATCTATCATTCCCCTCTGCCAAAGGATGGATGAACCTTGCTGAAAACAAAAACAAGCTACAACATTACCAGTGTTGCTAGTGGCTTGTTTCATTATAGTGGTATTCTGAATTCTATTCAGAAATTTCTAGATTTAATTTGGTCCACTCTGCCAGACAAACATGTTTTTAAATTGCAGCTGAATTTTGATGGGCTACCTATCTTCAAGAGTACTAGTGTACAGTTCTGGCCAATACTGGGTTTGTTGCAAGGATACACCAAGAAACCAATGTTGATAGGACTGTTTTGTGGTACTTCTAAGCCAAATTCATTGACTGAATATCTTAATGATCTGGTTCAAGAGCTTAAAGTGTTGAAAGATGGGTTTCTATTCAAGCAGAAAATCTTCTTTTTGAATGTTGTTTCTGTTGTGTGTGACACCCCAGCTCGAGCCTTCATCAGAGGTGTAAAGTCACACAACGCTTATCATGGATGTGACAAGCGTTGTGTGACTTTACACCTCTGATGTCATCAAACAGGCGTCCGCAAATCAAATAGAATGACATTTCCTGAGGTCAATGCAAGGTGCAGAAGTGATGATAGTTTTAGGCAAGTAACAGATGAACAACACCATGTCCAGCAATCACCTTTTATAGAAGTTGGCATTGACATGATCACTTGTTTTCCGTATGATTATATGCACCTAGTATGTCTGGGTGTCATGAGGTGTCTCTTAGATTTGTGGATTGGCACCACAGGTCCCTTGCACTGTCGTATTTCATGTAGTCAGGCGTCCATGGTTTCAGATAGACTTCTTGCACTGAGAAATTACATTCCAAGTGAGTTTGCTCGAAGGCCACGTGCACTGCTTGAACGATGCAGATGGAAAGCCACAGAATTTCAACAATTCCTCTTGTACACTGGTCCGGTTGTGCTGAGGGGTGTTGTAAAGCCTCAAATCTATGACAATTTCATGCTATTGTCAGTAGGTGTGTACATTTTAGCAAGTCCTGAATATTGTATGGAGTTGAATGACTTTGCTAAAACTCTGCTGATATCATTTATTAAACACTTTGGCCAGCTTTATGGTGAGGAGTTTTTTGTGTCTACAATGTTCATGGTCTGGTGCATCTTAATGAAGATGTCAAACTTCATGGCAATTTAGACCTCATATCAGCATTTCCTTTTAAAAAATTCTTAGGAAAACTGAAAAAGTTGGTTCGAGGGCCACTAAATCCTTTAACTCAGGTGATACTTAGATTATCAGAGATAGAAAATATCACCAGTGCTGATATAAAAGAGGCAAGTGAAAAACTGAAAGTGAGCATAAGGATGGGCCAGTGCCAGAATGCTTTTCGCCACAAGTTCGTCAATATAAAGTGCTAGCTACAGACGATGTAGTTGTGAGTGTCAAAGAGAGAGATTGTTGTATGAAAATTGACAAAAAGTTGGTGTTAGTCCAGAACATTATTGAGGAAAAAGGAGTAGTTTACATTGTGGCCAATGAATATAAACAGGTGGAACACTTCTTTACATATCCTATTGACTCAAGAGAGCTGGGAATTTATGTTGTTTCCAAACTTTCCACTAACATCAAATGTTTCATAGTTAGACAAAAGCCCCAGAAGTTTGTAAGACTACCATTTGAAAAACGATTTGTTGTTGTTCCACTATTGCATTAAGGAAAACAGGCCTTTTAGTAGTTGTGTTGGCTTAAGAGAGTGTTTCTGTGGGTTTCTGATTTTTCTTTAGATGTTTCACATTGTTGTTTTTGACAAAACTAATGAGGTAGAAGTTGTGCCTTCCATCTGGATTAAAAATGGAGAGTGCTTGTGGCCTCCAAATAAAACTGATATAGCCAAAGCTGTCAGATTGCAAGATTGTCCTGGAGACGAATGGAAAGCCCATAAGGCCAGAATTATCTTCACTTCACGTAAGTTACATTCTTTCACCTCTTCCTTCAGATTAAACTAATGATTTTTATTACTTAAAATTGTCTTTCTTACTCTCACAGATGACTACAATGAAGCAAGACGAAAATTACCCCAAGCTGTTGAACAGACTGATGTTGGAAGTGATGAGGGGAACTAACCACGTGCTTTTAAAAGAAAAAGAATGTAAGGGGACAAATATGTTTTAGTGTTTCGTTCTTTATTTTCTTTTATTAACACATATTTTAATGGGTGATGAACAACATTTACTAATAGTTTTATACTATGAAATTACTGAATGTACTTAGGCCTAAAAACAATCTATTGCCTGGGGAGGATGATTCAGAGACAGAAAGCATTGTGAAAGAAAAAAAGTCAAAAAAAAGGGTAAGAACCTTTCGCTAATTGTAATTAGTTTATTTTATTGCGCTAGATGAAATGCTAAGATCTTTTGTATCTTTGAGTAGAAAATATTCATTGCCCAATGCTCCAAAAATCATCAAGCAGCACAAAACTTTAGCAGTAAACCCAGTAAAGGAAAACAGTCCAGGGTTCAACCCAACAGGCCGCATCACTGCTGTTTGTCACTATGATGACATGGAAGGCAGCGTGGAAGGAACAAAGTCACAAAACAGGTAAGAAGCCTCAGCATTTAAAACAAAAACTGTAAGATAATTTTTCACAGCTGATAAATAAACATGTTTTCTTCATTTGTGCAGAAACTTTTCATTGCCCAATGCTAGGAGTATTGCTAGATAGGACAACACTAATGAGTTAGAACCAGGAAAGCAAAGCAGCCCCAAGCTCCAAGTACTCAATCAAACCACTCCTTCCCACCACCTAAAGGGCCACATCACTTCTTACGACTATGAAAGAGGCCACAGCAGTCCTGAGCTTTTTCCAAGTGATGATAGTACTCCTGAGCTTTACTTAAAAGGGCACAGCACTCCTAAACTTTACTCAAGAGGCTGCAGCAGTCCTAATCTCTACTCCGGAGGCCATAGCAGTGATCACTTTTACCCAAGAGGACACAACAGCCAAAAGCTCCACACAAGTCAGCACCATGGAACTAATAAGTCATCTTCAAGGCATAACAGCAATAAGATCCACACATCAAGCACTGAGGTGGCTAGACCAAGTCATGTTGGCAGTAAAATTCATAGATCAAGCCATGTTAGCACTAAGATTCACGGACAAAGCCACTCTGCACCTTCTACAGTCACATCAAAGCACACTGAGCCACCCCAGACCAGAGAGCAGACATCAAATCTGCAAACATGTGAGTATATTGATTTTCATAGTAGTTGTTTGTATTTAGTACTTTTTCTCTGGTGAGTCACACTATGGGCCCTATCATACACCCGGTGCAATGTAGCGCAAGGGGCGATGCAATAGTTGTTTGCTAGTTTCAGCTTGGCGCAAGAGTCGTTTTGACGTTTTCCGCTACGCTGTTTAAATAGCAAATGCATTAGCGCTCATTTGTGCGCCCATAGGCGTTCTGGTCTAAAAAAGGAAGGCGTTCTGAGGCGCATTGCTGGCACGTTGCTATTTTGAGAAACTAGTAGATTTTTCAATAGATCAGAACAAAGCCGGTCTATTGTCCAGCGCAGAGTTTTGCCTCGCTTACACACTGCTTAATACACACAACATGTAGAGCAATACGCAAATATCTCATATCACATGAAAAAGAATTAAAATATTAAGGATATATGTAGGATATAATAAGGATATATAGGATATTAAAGGATTAAAATATTACAAAACATATTATTTTCTAGCCCACATAAATATGAAAAACCACTGCTTTTATGTCTTCTTCATCTCGGGAGGCTTTTTCAGTTCATTTATAACAATTTGCTTTAGTATAATGTTATTATTATTAGCAGTATTATTTATTATATCCATATTTATATTTGTTTTATTAAAAACAAGCTTATATTTGCCAACCTGCAGGTTTTAGACCATATGGGGCACAGCATGTGTTTTAGGATAAAACTCAGGTTTTTGAGCACTTCGTTATTATTGTTCATTTATTAGTTTGCTGGAAATCAGAACTGAATTTAGAAATAGTTTTGAAACAAATCAACACTAATCTTTGCACTTTGCGCATGGACTGTCCATATAGAGCCCTACATATTTGTTATAAACATAATGTATGTTTTAACACTGTACAGTTTTTATAGTCTTATACAAAAATGTAAAACTTTGTATGTTTGTGCTTCCAAAAACTCTAAATATCTAAAATTATCTAAAATTGTTTTGTTAAGATGCTGTAATTTTAACCAATCCTCTAGAACCACCTGATTATCTGATTTTTAGTTTGCCATGTTAACTTGTAACTTGCATTGGAAATTATTAGAAAATAGTAATACCAACAAATGGGGAGTATTTACCTAATTAAAGAAAAAAATTAAAAACACATTTTATCTTTCTTGTTGTTTTTTCTAGCCCTTCTGCGTAATATATTAACAAAGCAGGAAATGATGATGGACCAACTTTGAATCAACTTTAAGACGCTGCAGAGTATGAAACCAACTGAAGAGGCAGAGGCAGTCCTGGATCGAAACTTGCTGCCAATAAAAGATGTTGGTTCTCTGGAAGACATTGAGGAACAACTACGTAGTAATCCTGACCTCCAGAAACAGTTGGTATGTTGGCAAATCAAATTATAAACAATGAAGCCAATATCCATGCAGATATGCATAATCAAGCGCGTATGTTTTTAGCGCACTCACATCCAAAGCACTCTCCTGCTTTTTATGCTTGTTTTTTTTTAACATTTTTAAAAATAAAATTTTTGTGTAAGAGAAAAAATACTACCAGTGTCAGTTATATTATACATAGTGTTTCATTATTTATTCAAACCATTGCTTAAAAAATAATGATTAATGGTTTTAGGTAAACAAATTGGCTCTCAAAGGTGGGGTGGACCTTCATGAGTGCATATGGAGAATTATGCATGGACTGATGACAAACTCTTTAGCCAGAAAAATAAACATGCGGGGAATCAATGGAAAGATTGGATTCCAGAGCTTACATTTACGAAATGTTGTTATTGGTAAGTTGAACTTTATGCCACAAAAGGGGTTAAAGTCTTTAACAATAATCAAATTGTATTAATTTGATTAACTGAGGTTCCAAGAGGAAGACATTAGAGGTACAGTGATGAGCAGGAAAGAGAAGAGAAAAAAAGTTATTTATTTTACATGCACTTATTGTAATTAAAATAAAAAATTAACAAAGGTTATACACAGTTACTCTGAACCAAACCCTAATACTAACCCTTCAGTAGATACGAGATTTGCGATTAATTACTGACAATTTTGCCACAGCATACAGTACTGTCAGGATATTGAAATGAGCTGCATAAAAGCTTTTGTTGCTTTAATTGTGAATTTAGTTAAATTAATGTCAACAACTGGATCTTTATTGTACAATTTTAATGTACAGTAGCATTATAAAGTCACAGAATGTTTTTTTCCAATATTTTCACATGTAGTAGGCCAAAATAACAAAAATGTCCATGTTTAAACTGAGCTAACCAATAAAGTTTTTAAACACACCAACGAAAATACAGTGAATATTCTTTAAAAAGCTCTCTAATTACACTCTGACTGTAATTGATGGCTCCATTAAAACTAAACCCAGGGCGTTCTTATAAGGTATATACATGCTTTGACCAGTTTAAATATAAATTGTAGACACATATCACTATAATTCACATGATCCATAGGCAGCATTTATACTGCATAGTTCAAGTGACTCAATTCCGTTTTTTTTCTCCTATGTGGCTTGTAAACAGGAAAAAATTACATGAAAAATAAAATTACATTTTACTCAAATCAGATTCAGGCCTTGTTCATATGTGGAAGTTTTTCTGATATGAATCTGATCCGTGCCCTTGTGTCAGGTAGATTGGATTTTCACCTGTCAATGCGAGTCGCTTATCATTAAAAAACAGTGAATGACATCAGGTTAGATGCTTTCATTTTGGAACAGACTTCAGCAGAATCTCAAACCTTGAGCATACATCACGTGCATAAATTTTCCCATGGACATTACATTAAGACGCCTACTGCTTCAAAAAGGCCTAAATTAAAAGAAGATGGACAAATGAGAACTTTTCTGTTATAAACTATAGTAACTTGTCAAAAAGAATAAAAAAAAATGAAACCCCGTAAACACATTAAATACAGGCATAGAGAAAAGGGTGCTCTTTTATTATCAGCTGTCAATCACCGCCTGCTCTTTTTTTTTTCCTGGTCATTGCATCTTTGCCGTGTGCTGTGTAAATGCAGACAATCAGATATGAGTCACTTTAAAAAAAAACGATGTAAATAAGTCAGCAAATAAATCAGACAGTCACAAAATCAAAATTGACCATCAAGATCTGCAGTGTAAATGCAGCCTTACTGTCCTTATTTGCTGGTAAACAAAGAGTGTTGAATAGCATTTAGCATTTTACCAAAACAGAGATTTAAAACAACACTGCCAAAATATATCTAATTATTAAATTGCACACAGCTTTGTGAAAAGGAACTTAGACTGAATTCCTCCTGGAGCCATATTACTAAAATTATTTGCTTCAATTAAAAGTCTGTATAGCTGTAAAAGCATGTCTGTCAATTTGTTCTGGTTTAGTTTTAATGTAATTGTTTTTTAAAATCCAATATCCACATTAGCTGTTGATAAAAAAGCTAATTTCAAACATTTACATATCTGTTTCAGAGGCTGTGAGACGAAACTGCCTGACATCTGAAGCCTCAGAAAAAGACATTGACTCAACCATCAAAAGATGGCTATATCTGGCCCCGGATAGGGATGGTGGCAGGAAAGAGAGACAAAAGCGAAAGGAGAATCAGGAGAAAACTGGTTAAAGAACTTGCTTATATGGGATTTGCAACTTAAAAGAGAGCAAAATGCTGTGTGTTCTGATGTTAAAGATTTACAGTATGCTGATTTTTCTTGTTTTGTCATGTTTTCTTAAATGTGAAATAATAAATATTGTTCAGAACAGTCATTGTTGTGATTTGATCTGGGAAGGGTTTAGTTTGGCTGCAGTTTTAGTTCATGTGGATTAGGCTTAGGTGTGGCTTACTTTTGGGCTATCTGGTTAAAGACTAGTCTTAACATGGTTTAATTATGGCTCAGTTTTGGTTCCAAATATTATCTTGATCTGGTCCGGTTGAGAGCCAGTTATGGCCCACATAGCAAAATTTCTCTGGCCCAGCTCTGGTCCACACAATCAGCCTTTTGCTTGGCCCACATGCCGCAGTGAATTACGGTACATGACTGGACCAAGTCTGGCTTCCTGACAATGACCATTCATGTGCCATAACTGGCCCAGTACAGGCCCAGTTATGGGTTACTAACTTGGCTAAGACCTGGCCCAGATATGGTCCGTGTTTGGCCCTTGCCTGGAAGCCAGACTTGGCCCAGTCATGTACCGTAATTCACTGTGGCATGTGGGCCAAGTGAAAGCTGATTGTGTGGGCCAGAGCTGGGCCAGATATATTTTGCTATGTGGGTTGTTATTAAACTGTGTTTAATAAAAATACTGCAAATGGATCCCTCTGTGTCAGTCTCCTTGTTACAAATATAGTGCATATGTAGCCCAGGAATTAAATGTGTAATGACACCGGACACAGGATGAAAAAATTCTGGGGACTTTTATTCCAGACTGCACTAAGAACAGCGCAGCGTTAAGTATGCGAATTTTGGACAATTTTAATAGCAAAGTTCAAGATGGTGTATAGCCACTGTGTTATCCTCTTTTCTTTCTTGTAATCACAATGACTGAAAGCAACTTTTTGAAACTGAAATAGTACATAAACAACGGTAGCAGCAGTTCATGCTGAGAAAACATACAACCAAGTGTAAGTCATCCACCATCAAAGTCAGATTGAAAAGAACTGCTCACTTTACCCTTACAAATCACATGGAATGAGATGTTGCCATGGGAACACTTTACAAATATTCTCCTACAATTAAACAATGTTTACAACTCAGTTTTATTTCAGTGAATAAGTGTTCATTAATATTCAAATAAAATGAGTTAAATGACTCAAACTTGCAGCTCGTCAGCTCTCTATAGCCCCTTCCACACATACAGACCTTGGAGAAAGGTTGTATGTGTGAACAGGTCCTTTTTGAAAATACCGGTAAATTCGTTCTGGCTATTTTCCGGAAAGAGAAGTTGTAACATTACCGGCAATTTGCCGGAATGCTGCGCTGTGTGAATGCAGAAGGAAGATTCTTGGAATAAGCGCATGCACGTCTAGAACGCGCCGACGTGAGACGTCTACTTTAGCCAATCACAACAGTCAGACGCATTTACGTCCGCACGGTTTATGAGAATAAAAGCCTTTGAATATTTTTCCAGACTCATTTAGCTGCTAGAAGTTAGTCAGATCACGTTTATATGTTCTTTTTAATGCCAACTGTGTAAATAATAATCAATGAGATGCTTATCATAAGCCATTTTTTGGTTACCTTCAAGCTTTGCGTGTACCTGTGAAACAGCCTGTGAGCGCCTGCTATTATGAACATCTCGACATGCGATAGTGATCCTGCGAAAGTTGTTCACAATATTGATCATCCACATAGTTTGTAATTTAGTCAATTGTTTACAAATACAAGCGCAGCCGTTTAAAGCTCATTTGTGGTGAATGATGTCAGAATTTACCGGTATTTTGGAATGGATGTGTGAATGCTCTTTTCCGGAAAATTTCCGTAACGTCCTCGCCTGTGTGAACAGCACTTTTTTGAATATACCGCAAAAGTCATTCCGGAAATTTTCCAGATATTTACTGGTATCACTGTGTGAAAGGGGCTAATGACACACACACACACACACACACACACACACACACACACACACACACACACACACACACACACACAGCATTAAGACCTGTAAACACATGACATTTTGAACATAACATTTAAAAGCAAATATGAAAATACATTCTCATAAACACTTATATTAAATAAAGTTGAACAACACTCACTATGTTGTCTTTCCATCACTCTTTGGACCTTTAAATCTCTCTTCTACCCTCTAAACAAGACAAGACACTGCATTGCACGCAGACTTTGGTAATCGATTTCGGTTACTATGTATTCCTGCAGTTGTCCTTTGTATTTTACGCACTTCAAGACAAGGCACTTCAGAACTAACTCTCTCTTCTTTTTTCTTTCTAGGTGTAGGCACAGGTCTAGTTTCTGGATTCTCAACAGGTAAGTTGACTCTTTCTTTTTCTAGCTCAACACATACAGGTGTCACTTCCAAAGTGTCATTAGGTATTCCCTGACTGGATGCCCCTGAACAGTCTTCACTCCCTCTGATCATTGAATCTTCCTCCAAGCTCAGAAACTAGTAAGTTTGTATTTTCAGATCTAGTCGGGTTCTGCCCTGGACACTGAACTTCCTCTACCAGAACACACTCTGCCCCAGGTGAGGACATCTCTGAATCCAAAACAGAGTTAGGTACATCTTTTACTGGTTGTTTTAGGCATCTTGGCATAGGCACTGGGACTGGATGACTGCAGGACATGAGGTTGGACCTATGCACTCTTTTTACTGTACTGTATGTCATACTGTACCTCCTTCGACAAGCTCTACAGTGTGTGTGGTCCCCTGCATATCTAATATTTTGTACACGGTGGAAGACCATGCATCCTAAATATTGTTTCTTCCAGGGGGCCTGTGTTGCAGGTACACATGCTGTCCAACTTTTATAGTTATGCAATTTACTTTGTCTTCATGAAGCTTGGTTATTTCTGCAGCTTTCCTTTCCGCACAGTTCTTTGCTCAAACGTCCATCCTTGAGATGTTCTTGGTGTACTTTTAACCAGTCAAGCTTATCATCTGTGGCAGGCTCCTGACCCAGTAGAGCATCAACCAGCTCAGCTAAATGGTCCGGTCACCTGCACTTCTTCTCGGGTGGGAGAGACTTTAAAAAGTCATGAAGGGTTCTGTTAAACCTTTCACATTGAGAATTGCCCTATGGGTGGTGCTGTGTTGTGCGAGTTTTCCTAACTTCATACAACTTGCAGATTTCTGCCATCACAGCACTTTCGAAGTTCCTGCCCTGATATGAGTGTAGTCGTTGAGGAATTCCATACTTCAGGAACCACTCTCAGAGAAGGATCTTGGCAGTAGTCTCTGCCTTTTGGTCATGGGTGGGAAATGCTTGACTGAACTTTGTGAACACATCAGTTACTACAAGAACATTTTCGCACCCATCCGTGACTGGTTCCAAAGTTGTTAAATCGACAGCTACTACCTCCAGTGGTCTGGTGGCCAAGAATGAAGCCCAAGGAGCCTTAATCTTTGGTTGCAGCAACTTGGCCAACACGCAGCACTGACATTGCTTCACCCACTGCTCCACATCCTCACACATTTCTCCCCAGAAACATCTCTATCTCAACAGGCTTAAAGTTCTCTCAATGCCTTGATGGGTATCTGATCATGGACATTTTTCAGGACCTGATCCCTTAAGTAGGTGGGTAACAAGAGCTGGTGACATTCGCCCATGTTGACATCATAGATTAGACAATATAATAGACCATACTTTTCTCTGATCTTTGGCCACTGTTTCAACAGAGGACGTAATGATTTAGACAATCCCAGTTGCTCTTGCTGGGTGGGTTTTCTTTGACGACTCCAAAACTTCTTAAACACACTTTGCCTTGGATCTGACTCCTGAAACTGATGAAGTTCTGCCTTTGAGTACCCTGATAAAGTGGGGGTATTCTCATCCACTTTTTCATCTTCTCCAGCAAGAGAAGCCTGTAACTGCCTGACTTTACTGACTTACAAACCTGCTGCTAACAACTCTGGCTCCAGAGCTATTCCTGTCCTTAGCATGTTACAGATTGCCACAGAGCCATCATACTCCGCATCCTCACTTTCATATTCTGGTTCACTGAACGCTGGTCTCCTAGAAAGAGCATCAGCAGCTATATTGCATCGTCTAGGATGATTTTTTAATTCAAAATCGAACGCCCAACGCTTTTCAATAGCTCCTAATTTGGCTGTGGTAAGGTGACAAGGAGGATTATTGTCTGTTATGATGGTTAATTTGCACCCCAGCAGGTAACTTCTGAACTTTTCGGTGACTGCCCACTTAAGTGCTAACAGCTCCAGCTTCATAATGCTGTAACTTTGGTCGTTCTTCTCATCCCCCCCTCAGTCTCCTGCTAGCATATGTGATTGCTCCCAGCCCAATATTACTTGCGTCTGTCTCTATCAAAAAGGGAAGTGTGAAATCAGCATACCCTAGTGTTGGTGCACTTGTGAGTTTGTCTTTAAGATTTGCAAATGATGTTTGACATTGGGAAGTCCAAAAGCTTCTATACACCTAAGCTGCCTTGATAGAACTTGTCTCTCTGAGGCACAAGTTTACAACATCATGCAACGGTCCAGCTATCTGGGAGAACCCTTCAATGAATCTCCTGTAATAGCTACCGAACCCCAAAAATGAACAGAGTTACTTGAGAGTGCTAGGGACAGGCAACTCCCGAACTTCACTTATTTTGTCAGGATCTGTACTCACACCTTGGGCAGAAACTTGATGGCCAAGAAATTTCACATCTGGCTGCAGAAAATGACACTTTTCTGTATTTATTTTTTAGCCCAGTTTCTCTTAACCTTCTAAACACTGTTTCCAGACTCACCAAGGGGTCATGAAAGGTGGAGGAGTACACCAGCAAGTCATCCAAGTAAATAAGCACAATTTGAAACCCCAGGTCACTCATGGAGTCTTGCATTAGCCATTGAAATGTTGCGGGCACATTACATAGCCCGAAGGGCATGCGACAGTACTCAAAAAGGTCAAACAGTGTAGTAAAGGCCGTTTTAGGTCTGTCCTTTTCATCAACTCTTACTTGATGGTAACCACTAGCCAGGTCTATAGTCGAGAATACTTGTGCTCCACTTAACGCATCCAAGCTCTCGTCGATGCGTGGCAATGGGAAAGCATCATGTCTAGTCTTGGAGTTCAACTTCAAATAATTGACACACAGCCTTAAACTTCCATCAGACTTGTGCACCAGAACAATAAAAGATGAACAGATGTAACGGGTGTCCCATCAAAAACACACCCGTCCATATTAACTCAGATCTTGGACTCAATGAAAGAAGCCATCTACCATTGCACTCAATCAGATTTATTTTCTCCGTCTGAGATAAAACAAAAATATGTAGTGCAGTAAAGTGCAGGATTAACATTCAGCTCTCTCTCTAAAAGGGAAAAATACAAAAACTCTCTCGTTGGGATATTGTACACAACACTAAAAGGCCTTAGCAATGTAATGTTTCAGCTAGCAAAACACAAATCATCTAAATCGTTCCAAAATAAACATTAGGAAATCAAAACATGAACTAGTGTATTATTTACACAACATACACATCTGTTTCAATCGATGAAATGATATAAAATTGTTTATATTATGCCTTTTTAATCAGTTTGCGAGAGAGACGAGCTGCGCTTACCTTACACAGTCACACCGATCTCAAAGGGACAATATACTCCTGCAATTTATCAACCACAAGGGGGCACTCAAACACCATCTAATTTATAATGCCTAATTTCATATTATTCACTCTGATGAATTATATTATCTTATCTTTTCAACTCTGTTACACAGACGATAAATAATAAGCGGCTCACTTTGCGTGCGGATATGCCCAGTTATTTAATTCATAACTGGCACTAGTTCTGAGTGCATTTGAGTGTTGTACATGAAGTGGCAGTTGGTCAAATATTTGTAACATAGCCTGTGTAGTACTGTTCGTTGTTGTTGTGGGAAGAAGACAGGGTCGGCGATTTAGGTAAGTAAATATCTTTAATTTTTCAATAATAGCCACCACAACACTTTATCTGTGTATGTTTCTCTCCTCTCCCTACTGCACCTCCCGTTCTCCTTAAGAAGGGAATCTCTCCGGGCCTATCACTAGAAAAACAGGTGTTATTTATCATTTCTGATTGGCCTGCTGATTAGCCGCCAGGCTCCAATCATGCTCTCCCCCCTTATCGGGTGTTCAATCACGCTCACCTCTCCACAAACCCCCACCGCCCGCCTTAGGCCGGGGAGCCGTCTGGCCTGCATATACAGATCATTTTTGTTAGTTACAAGCGTAGCCAGTGTCACTTCCTCTATCTCCCTCCACTGCTTCAGCAGATGTAGTTTAGTGCCCTTGTCATATCCCCGGCGTTGGTCATCCTGGACTTTAAGCAAATTCTCTGTAGAGAACTGCCCCAGTGTGTGGAGTTTTGCTCTAAGGTACAGAATTTACTGAATTTCATTTTTACTATTAGAAGGCTCGTCCTCCCGAACCTCTCTAATGACCTCCAAAACTCCTATGGGCTGTCTGCCGTAGAGAAGCTCAAAGGGGGAAAACCCCGTGGAGGCTTGGGGAACCTCCCGCACAGCAAATAACAAGGGCTCCAACCACTTATCCCAATTCTTCACGTCTTCGTGAACGAACTTACGGATCATTGATTAAAGCGTGCGATTAAACCTTTCCACCAGCCCGTCTGTTTGTGGGCCGGCATTTCCAGACGGCTATGCTTTTACCCCTAAAATTTAATATCTATTGCCGTTAGCGGGTAGTGAATTACATCCCCGTGCACACACCTTACCCTTACCATGCAGCTTGTATCCAATGCCAGGTCTTGAAGCAAGCTTTGTTGGATGGAGGTTTGGTTACACCCCGAGTCCACCAAAACTTGATATGTACCCCCTTTTATACTCACTGGTATCCGGTGTAGCCCGTAGCGACCGGGGCCGACGATTGGCGTACCAGGGATGCAAATCAATGCACTCACATCCTTCATGGAGCAGACTTTTGGTGCGCTATCCTCATCCCCGCGACGCCAATGCATCGGCCCAGCCCTTCTCTCTATACCCCCGGGGCCAGCAGGACCAACCGTTTGAACCGGAGAGAAACCTGGCGCTTTCTGTGGAACCGCCAGGGGTCGTTGCTCCACCACTTTGCCCGAATAGGGCCCCGCCCCTCTTGGGACGCTTGGCAGATCTGCATCGGTGCAACAATATCTGGGTGCTAGTGTGGGCGGTCTCCGCATGTCTGGGAGAGAGGTTATTTCGCAAACCCTGGACCTTGCCACCAGGTGATCCTCCACCAGCCGGATGGCAATCTCCAGATCTTCTGGACCCACTCCGATGTTCGGGAGGGGAGGCGAGTGATGAACTGTTCCAGTACCACGGCATCCACCACCTGGACGGTGGTCAGGCCATCTTGTACAGCCATCTGCGACAGGCTTCATGGAGCTGCTCGGTGAACACGAAGGGCCAGCCTTTCAGTCAGCATCAGGGACCGGAAACTCTGACCTTGCTCCTCCGGATTGCGGCTGGTCCGCTGAAGAATGGCTCGCTTCGCCCGAGAGCAGCGGGATGACACATACCGGCCACTCAGCCAGTGGCCAGCCACACACCTCCACCATCTTCTCGGACAGATTGTGGAACACTTCCGGGTCGTCCTGCACCACCATCTACTGGAAAGTGATGAGATGGTGGGCGGCAGAAGTCGAAGCGGGCCAGATCTCCTAGGACAGCAGACTTCGGATTAGTTCGCAGTCCTCTCGCTGGGCCTCCAAGAGGACTTGGAACCGTTGATGTTGGTCTTGCTTCAACTCCACCAGAGTATGATGTTGTGGGTGGAGAACGGCGAGTGCCTGGATGACTTCCACACCTGGACTAGTAGACAAAGCTAGGACGTTACTGTTTCTAGTACTTATCAAGCCAGCTGACTTTTCTGTGTGCAGTATACACGTTCTCCCCGTGCTCACGTGGGTTTCCCCTGGGTTCCCCGGTTTCTTCCCACCGTCCAAAAACATGCAACTTTTGACTAATCCAAATCGGCACCATAGACATGCTTCTACTAAGTAGTTATCTCTTAAGAGCAATCACTATCTGTTTAATAGCTAATACAGCAGGGGAGTTCTCAAGATCCACCAGAGATCAAACTCCCCTCTCGCCTTGCAAATCGTAGGGGGGAGTCCCGAGCTCGAGGATTTTATGAGCTCAGGGCTCTCTTGCGGGACAGCATGCCAAACAAGCTTTATAATCAATCATTAGCTAAGTGTGAACTCTTGAAGGGAAGAACAGTCTTTCAAAGGTCCATTGTGTGACAGAAAAGACACAGTTTTTTTTTTTATTACTTTTATTGGTTGTAAAAGTGCTTATAAAATGTGTTTTTATATTTCCTTGAAAGTGTTAGGTTCAAATCATCATGTCTTAAAAGAGAATTTATTGTATTTTGTTTCTTTATAATTTGCATAGGAAATTAGTCATTTGCAGCTGTTTATAGCTGTGTGTGTCTATGTTGTTGAGAGCTGACAAACTGTAAGTTTAAACAATTTCATTAATTTTATTTAAATTCTTATGATTACATATTCATTGATGTAAAACTCAGGAACTGAGTTTTTAATGGTGGGAGAAAATTTGCAAAGTGTTCATATTGCAACAAATCGCATTTTAACACAAAATACTGACAACTTTGTTGGTTGATGACTTACACTTGTTTGTTTTCTTTCAGCATGAACTGCTGCTTCCATTGACATAATATTATATTTCTAGCTATTGTGAACATAAGAAAATAGGATAACACATTTTGATGTGAAAAAGCTAACTTATTATTTTCAGTGGCTGCATTCAAGCTTAAGCTTTTCTAGTCTAGTAGTCCAAAATTTGCATATGTAACACAGCGCTGTTCTTAGTGCAGTCTAGAATAAGTGGCCTAAGGATTTTTCATCCTGTGTTTGGTGTCATTACACATTAAATTCCCTGACTGAATAAATAAGAAATTTGTTCTTTTTTCCACTTGAGCCTCTACCTCTTAAAATGTATTTCTGTGTCCCTAAACTTCAGTGACAACTGACAAATACAGTTGGTTCAAAGCAGGGGTTCTGAAGGTTTCATGGTACTTTGCTTAGACACGTGACTTTGTGGTTTTATAAACTAGTTAAAGGCAACATGAGGTTCAACACAGAACAATTGTTGTATTCTAGCTGACTGTTGTGAGAGCCAGAGAGAACAGAGCATGGATATCTCCACAACTTCAGAATGTAAGTATTAAAAATCAAGAAAACTATATCGTCACCTTCGAATTATGAGGTTCTATCTGACATTTTTGGCAAAATTGAGTTATTGACATATTCTTATTAAATGACAACTTATTTACATTATGGGATTTTTTTAGAAGCTGTTTAAATTTTGGGACTTTTTATATTAAAAAAAAAACTGATTTTACACACACTGTCTGTTATGGAATGGAAAAACTTTAAAGCATAATATCTCAAAATCATTCAGAACACAAATAGAACCTTATAATTCCAAGATGACAAAATATGATTTAATGTGGTTATGCAAATAATATACACATTGTTTGAAAACATATATACACAGTATGTTGCAAAGTGCAACTTTAATCACTGGGATTTACCCATCATAAATGGTCTTTGGCCATAATGTTTACACATTAAAAATGTTAAAGTTGGAATTTCTTTGTACAAGGTCTTTTGAGAAGACAAATGTCATTGTTTTGGTCTCTTATATTCATGAACCCTTAAGTAAAGCCTGTGCTATGACCATAGAAACCCTTTTATTCTGATATTAATTCCTACACCATATATTTCCTCTAAGTATATATATATTTTTCCCCTCAGGTCATATATTTGATCATGTTTACTATGATTTGAATTATCGAAACAATGCATTATTATTGAAATACAATATGTGTAAACAGATTTCAATTATACCTTTTGCAGTAATTGTATGTTTTTTCTCCTAATAGATGAAAGTGGTGCGTTTAATTTTACAGATTTTACCAACTTGGTGAGTACTAAGTTCATGCATATTTAACATAGTGTTTATCTAATTATTATCTAATGGATTTGTCAAAATCTGTCAATTTTTGCATTAGTCAAAAAACAAATTCTGCCCATGGCAAAGCATATCACCAAGCAACAATCTCTCATCCTGTTACTGTATATTTTCTATTTTCTGAATAAGAAGTCAAGTACAGTGACCTACTAATCTGTGTCTTTCTCTTATCTCAGACAGATTAGGCAACATTGTGTAACTATGTAACTATTCAACACAAGTAGAGGAATTTCCACTTTGTGCATCTAATATTGTTTATCTGTTATCTCTATGTATGTCAGGATGGAAAAGAATTTAGGGTTTCACATGCTTCGGAGGGGCCCTGTTTATAACGACCACTGTGGCAGGTGACACTCGTTTATGCATGCTTCAGAAAGCGTTGAAAGAGGATGTGGTGTACTTGTGTGGTTTCTCCACTAGAGACACCTGCACCTGAGCTGAGCTGTGTTTTGCACATTTAGATTGTTAAAGCTTGCTGAGATGTTATGATATGAGGTGCCGTATAGGATTTAAATCAAACTTTGCTTATCAACACATACATAAAACACGTGTATATACACCTATAAATTACTCGCATATACACCTATACTACTGGATGTTCAAAACAACAGGGATGAAACTTGTGTATATACATATAAACTTGACGCATGAATACACCCACATACACACGCACATACATATAAACTCGATCCTCACATAAACACTCACATTAACACACGCACATACATATAAACTTGCTGCATGCAAACACACCTATACACACTCGCATATACATATAAACTTGATCTATGCATATACATCCATAAACTCTCACATAAGAATATAAACTTGATGTGTGCATAAATACCCAAATGACACTTGTGCAAACATACAAAATAAAATTCACAAACATATATACAGTAAGTTGTGTATATACATATATGCAAGTGATTTCAGATGTGTGTACGCATGAATTTTCACAGTAAAAGGAAGTTATTTCACTTTAAAAGGAAGTAGTTTAATTTCAACGTAAAAGAACAAGATTATTATTTGTCATGAATCAGGTTATTGCAAACCTTAAGAAACAGAAATAATGTGATTAATAGAGGAATTACATCTGTTGAATTATGAAAATAGATTATGCTAATTCTAAAAAAAAATAAAATAAAAAGGTAATGCTCCTGCAAAATTAAAGGTTTATTATGCAATTAAATTATTGGAAATGTTATTATGGTTTAATAAATATAAGGTGGCTTAAGTAATCATTTTGAATAAAATATGTTTGTCTAATATTATTTTTTTATGTTTGTTTTATTATTGGTGTCACTATTCGTCAAGGGTTATGATACACACTTATGTCCAGTAGGGGGCAGGAATGCACTTAAGTGGGTTTTCCTGTCACCAATAAACAGGCTAAAGCCTGATTTATACTTCTGCGTCAGGTGACCGGCGTAACCCACGGCGCATGCAACACGCGTGGCTGTGCATTTATACTTCTGCGCGCTGTCTCTGTCGGTCTGCATTAACACTTCCGAAACGCTAGTTGGCAGTGATGTGTAAATGTTCCTCTGTGTCGAGTTTCTTCTGTGCTTTTTTGCTTTTCCTGAACACTTCTGGGATGTACAAGTGGCTCAAACTCGCTCATTTTGAGGCAGGAACCGGGGGACGTGCAACAATTTTAACTATGAGGTAAACACAAAACAAAACTTTACATCCGGAGCTCCTTCACGGACTCCACACTTGTAAACAATCGCTCGCGCCATTCGCACGGCTCTCGGTCCCGCCCAGACTCGTCAGCGCTACCAAGCCGACCAATCACAGAGCTTACGCTACGCGTCGTTGCGACGTGTAGTTACATTTTTTGAGAGGTGCACGTCAGTGACGGCGACGGCCACGGCGAAGGGCTATGCGTCAGCGCCGTAGCATACGCCGGTGTTTGACGCAGAAGTATAAATCAGGCTTAATGCACCAAAAAGCCTGATTTATACTTCTGCGTCAGGTGACCGGCGTAACCCACGGCGCATGCAACACGCGTGGCTGTGCATTTATACTTCTGCGCGCTGTCTCTGTCGGTCTGCATTAACACTTCCGAAACGCTAGTTGGCAGTGATGTGTAAATGTTCCTCTGTGTCGAGTTTCTTCTGTGCTTTTTTGCTTTTCCTGAACACTTCCGGGATGTACAAGTGGCTCAAACTCGCTCATTTTGAGGCAGGAACCGGGGGACGTGCAACAATTTTAACTATGAGGTAAACACAAAACAAAACTTTACATCCGGAGCTCCTTCACGGACTCCACACTTGTAAACAATCGCTCGCGCCATTCGCACGGCTCTCGGTCCCGCCCAGACTCGTCAGCGCTACCAAGCCGACCAATCACAGAGCTTACGCTACGCGTCGTTGCGACGTGTAGTTACATTTTTTGAGAGGTGCACGTCAGTGACGGCGACGGCCACGGCGAAGGGCTATGCGTCAGCGCCGTAGCATACGCCGGTGTTTGACGCAGAAGTATAAATCAGGCTAAAGGCTGGATGCCAGCTGCTGTAAAAATATAAGTAGTAGTTATTAAACACAAAAGGAGTGTACAGATAATATATATAGCTTTTCCATGGGGGTTAACTTGACCAACATGATGAGCAGAGACTTTTAATCAGCATTTTTTTTTTTTTGTCTATGCTGAATAATTAACAATCAAAATGGTACCAGAATCTTGCAATTTTGACACCCACATTGTAAAAACATATAAAAAGCATAATAATTATAAAAATTTTAAAAACAAAACAAGAAGACTGTAGGCTACATTAACATTTGCAATAGAAAAGAGGAGTTTAGTTTAAGTATACATTTATATTTATAATTCTGTTTTTTTTTTTTTGAATATCATTTAAGGGTTCTATCTGTCCATTTATATTTGTGTATGTAATTACCTAATTAAATGAAAAGTTTTTAAATAAAAATATTTCTTATTTTGAATAGTCTATTTATGTAGACTAATATTTTATATAACATATGTTTATAATTTAACATATTTAATCTCTCTATTAATCACATTATTTCTATTTCATAAGCTTTGCAATAACCAGATTCGTGATAAACGTTTGTGAATTTTATTTATTATTTATTTTTTGTATGTTTGCGTGAGATGTTTTAGGTGTGTTTGCATGCAGTGAGTTTGTGTATGTGCACGTGTTGTTGAGGTTGTATATGCATTGACCGAGTTTATATGTATATGCGATTATGTATAGGTGTGTTTGCATGCTGCGAGTTTATATGTATGTGCATGTAAATGTGGGTATTTATGCAAGAATCGAGTTTATATGTATATATAAGTGTGTATAGGTGTGTTTGCATGCAGCAAGTTTATATGTATGTGTGTGTGTTATTGTGAGTGTTTATGTGAGGATCGAGTTTATATGTGCGTGTGTATGTGGGTGTATTCATGCGTCAAGTTTATATGTATATACACAAGTTTATTCCATGTTGTTTTGAACATCCAGTAGTTTAGGTGTATATGCGAGTAATTTATATACACGTGTTTTATGTATGTGTTGATAAGCAAAGTTTGATTTAAATCCTATACGGCACCTCATAAGGTGTAGGCTAGAAAATAATGTTTTGTAATATTTTAATCCTTTATATTTATATTCTATATATTCTATATATCTATTCTTATTATATACTAAATATATCCTTAATATTTGAATGTTTTCATATGTAAAGATATTTGCCTATTGCTCTCTTGTGCGTATTAAGCAGTGCGTAAGCGAGGCGCAACACTGCGCCGGAGTTTAGACCGGTTTAGTTTTGGTCTAATGAAAAATCTATTATAGATTCTCAAAATAGCAATGCGCCAGCGGTCCGCCTCAGAACGCCTTCCTTTTTAGACCAGAACGCATATGGGCGCAAAAATGAGTGCTAATGCATTTGCTATTTAAACAGACTCTTGCGCCAAGCTGAAACTACCAAAAGACTACTGCGCCACGCCTTGCACCACACTGCGCCGGGTCTATGATAGGGCCCTTAAACTACCAAAAGACTACTGCGTCACGCCTTGCGCCACACTTAAACACTTAAAACCTAAATGCTAGCACGAACATTTATATATATTTTTATTATAATATAATACAAATTATTGTATTATATTATTATGTATCATGTGACAAAAGCTTTAAACATAAGAATAAATAATATTTAAACATATAAAACAATTACTTTAAATCAAAATAACATTTTAAGACCTTATATGTATGTGCACAAATACCTGATGATAATGCTGTGAGGTTAAAGGGTCATAGTTTCAATTTATTCCTGGAAATAAATATGAAATAACTTTTCTAGCATGCTAGCCTTCTTTTTTTCTCTGAAAAGGTTCACCACTATTTCATCACTACTAATTTGCGATGGGACATTTTGATCCAAAGACTGATTATTTGTTAATTTAGCAATGGTGTTAAATAAAAACTAGCATTGTTATAATTTTTTTTTTCTATCAGTTTTACCTCCTATTGCTGGACTTACTATCTTTGTACACAATTATAAAGACCTCTAATAATTAACAACAATTAATTAAAAAAAATCATCATTTTCTTATTTTTGTTTATTTTATTTACATAAGCTGTATCCTACTATTGAGTCATATTTTAAAAGCATTTATTTGAATTAATTGATTTTGTTGTCAGCAAAATATATTGTGTAGATTAGATCTTATTTAATTCAACGGTCTGTACATAATTAGAGTATGTTGCATTTTTTCTTAATTTCTCTATGTGAAACCCTCTAATGTAGCATTAAATTATTACAGTAGTGATGACAGATGACTAGCAGAGGATAAAAAAAAAGATGTGTTGCGAATCTATGTAGTCACTTGTACTCAAAATCTAAATGAGTAAAAGTAACATCTGTAATTATTAAGTACAATAACATCCGTAAATGATTTCCTGAATGAAGCAGTTGTAGTTACTGCTCGTTCTCAAACACAATGATAAACAAGGATGCAAACTAAACTTTCCACGTAAACTGAACTTTAGAGCATACTCTTTGATGTGATGGTGGTGTAGATGTAGTAGATTGGCATAAGGTATAAATGGTAGATTTTACATGAAGTTAGTGGGTTCTGTAACATTGGTTCAGGGAAAATGCAAGAGGTGGATCCACATGCAACTATTTAATTTAAATAAAACAAAATACAAAACAAAGACAAGAACAACAGAAGAAAAAACAAGGAACAGTCCAAAGACATCCATCAGAGAATAGACAGCAACCACATGCAAACATTCAATGGCGAACAAACACAGACTGAATCTCAGAGCTATATATATACTGAGCTGCGGGTGTAAAGTAATCAAAGTTCATGAACATCAGGTGTCAGGTGTATTGGATTATGGAATGTGTAGTCCAGCTCAGTGGTACAGTAGATGTGATGTGTAGAGTGCCTTCTGGTGTGTCTGGTCTTCACTCTAGCTGGTGACCGTGACAGGCTGTAAATTAAAGTGGTACTTAATTTGTTCAATAGTATCTGGATGCAGCCTTTATGAAGCATGCTGAGATTAAATCTCTCAGTGAGCAATGTCAGACACAATGCACTCAGTGGAGCTAGTGACGGCACTGTGAGGGGTAGGGTTAGGGGTGGGTTAAGGTGAGGCCATTAAAAAGCATTGGAATGCAGCTCAGAATGCACTGCACCAGGTATGCATCCAGACCCCTCTTAATCTTTCCCCAAACCTATCATCGTGTTCTCTTATACTTACTTGTACTTACTGTATAAATACATTATTATTATTACAAAATATTCCACTGTAAATTGTACTTACTATGTAATCTGTGGGCTGTATTCTAAAGTTTTACCAGATTATTTATTTTAAATATTTGCTAATGTTCAGGTTCAGTTATGTATTTTACTTTTAGACACAATCTCATTACTAATAATTATAATTATTTTAATATATTATATTAAAAAAGAATGACAACAAATAAAAGTGTGCATTTGTGTTTTTACAGCATTAATTTTGCACCTAAAACTTAAAATTCAGATAGCTATGTTTTTAAAACAAGGTTCAAAATGCTTTCACGCTCATTAAAACAGATCAACTTAATCAAGACCTTTGCTAAAAGGCCTAAAACTAATGAGACAAATACTGATCCACACACGAAGTGGGACTGTCTCATCAGCACCTGAGCCGGGGAAACTATCTCTTTCATTAAACAGATCAGATCCAGCTGCTGTGCAGCATCCTCACATGAAACAGCTACCATTCAATGTGTTTTAAACAATTTTATCTGACAGACAGACTGGCATAAATAAGCAGACATCTCCATTTTCACGAGTTTCTGAGTTTTTTCACCTTTCAACTGAGTTAGGTCCACCGAGTTAATGTGGGAACATGTTCAGTGCTGTTGCAAATGCTATATGCAAATTTGTAAATGCCTGTCCTGCTCGTTCAAATTATTTGATGAAATGTATTGAATTGTAATTTACCGGCGCAAGATGGAAAACAGTTAAACATAGGCTTGAATATGAAACTGAATATTTTACTTTAAGTTTATTTGGGCTAGAATATTATTTTATTTGACAATCCAGTTTGTGATTCGGCATTGTTAAAGCATAGCGGATTTGAAGCACTTCACCTCAAATGTTATTCATTCTTTTATTTTATCAAGAAGATAACTGACCAAGAAAAATATTTAAACAAAGAGACACACTATATATGAAATTTTTCCATCTTTTGTCACATATTTGCAATTTTTATGTTCCTTTGTATAAAAATTGTTAATGGCACAGAATTTTTAATGCCTGAACATGTCTTTTTTATATTTTAGATTACTGATACTGATGACTACGAACCAGAACTGGATGGATTATGTAGCAAAGAATTGGTGCGACAGTTCAGTAAGAACTTTGAGCCTCCTCTCTACTGGATCATCTTTGTTGTGGGGGCTTTGGGCAACCTACTGGTTATCTGCATCTTCACAACTGTGCGGAACCGTCTCAAGACCATGACCGATGTGTACCTGCTGAACTTGGCAGTGGCTGATCTTATTTTCCTAGGTACATTGCCCTTCTGGGCAACAAATGCAGCTCAGGGATGGGTGTTCCACCAGGTCATTTGCAAAGGAGTTTCAGCCGCATACAAAATCAACTTTTTTGCTAGTATGCTCTTGCTCACTTGCATTAGTGTGGATCGCTACATTGCCATTGTCCATGTAACTGAAGCACACAACTACAAAAACAAACGCATGTTACATAGTAAGATTACATGTGCTTTTGTGTGGCTGGCCTCCTGCATTTTAGCTCTACCAGAATTTATTTTTGCCAAAGTGAAAAACATTGAGCCACAGCACAACTCATGTGTCATGGTATACTCAATAATGGATAATAACCGTACAAAAGTTTTGGTGTTGGCTTTGCAGATTTGTGTCGGTTTCCTAGTTCCATTTATGGTCATTGTCTTGTGTTACTCTGTCATTATTCGTAAACTGATGCAGGCTCGGAGCTTTGAAAAACACAAGGCTTTAAGGGTAATTATTGCAGTTGTGGCTGTTTTTGTTTTCTCACAGTTGCCGCTTAATGGATACCTTATTATAGAAGCAGGCCAAGCCAACAATGCCACAATTACAGACTGTGAAGTCATGCAAAGATTAGATATGGTTGGGCAAATTGTGAAGAGTCTTGCTTACACACACTGTTGCTTGAATCCCATTCTGTATGTTTTTATTGGGGTTCGTTTCCAGAAAGATCTCCTGAGCCTACTTCAGTGCATGTCATGTGGCTTAGGATCAGTTGAAAACTGTAAACTGCAAGACACTAACAAGAAACCCTCTGTTATGTCTGACACCGACACAACTCCAGTTTTTTCTTTATAGATCATTGTTGATTTTATCAACAACTTTTATCCAAAAACTTCAACAGTGTCATTTGCCATGCTAAAGGTGTGATATACTTATTTTTTTAGTTTAGAATTGTGGAAAGACTATTAATTGTGCTTCATCATAGTATTCTTCTTTTATAGTTTTCAGGCTCCTTTTTTGTAGGTGGAGTATCTTCCTGGGCATTTAACCAGTATTTTTTGGAAAATATGATTCTAGTTAGTGTACTGTTTTATGTATAATATTATGTTTTTTTATGTATACACATCAGCGAAAATATTATAAAGTTTAAATATATTACTCACTGTCCTTACTTCCTTCTTTATCAGGGCTCTCCACAGTGAAAAATGTATTTGCTTTCAGAATGTTTTATAAAGACTTTGACTACAATATAACAGGTATTGGTCCCACTTTATATTAAGTAACCTTAACTAATACGTACTTACATAGGAACTAATAGTTTGCTACAATGTACTTATTGTGTAAATACATGTATTTACTGTGTACTTATGCTTGATTAAATACATGTATGTAGTTACATCTGTAACTAACTTTTTCAATTACATTTGTAAATACACTGTTGACCATCCCTTACACCTTAACCTACCCTTAAACCTACCCATGCCACCAAACCTGTCCATAACCCAACCTCTATTCCAACTCAAAAGCACCACAAGTGTTCTCAAATACATTATGAACACAGTAAGTACGTTGTATTTATTTTTTTGATGTAAGTACATAGTAGTTAGGGACACCTAATATAAAGTGGGACCGATGCTGACAATGGAGGAGAGGATCCAAACTCAGTGTTTTATTAACAGGATGGTCAGGCAAGCAATGATCAATACAGGAGCAAACAGATGTACAAGGGCAATCAAGAGTCGTAGTAAAAATAACAGGCAGATGGTCAGAAGGCAAGCGGTAAGTACAGTGATATTACAGTGTACTTTTCTGTACGTATTGTATAAGTATAATGAACGTATGTGTAGGTATAAGGGAACAAACCGTAATGCTTGGGTAATAAGGGGGTAACAACTGGATATTCAGCACGAAAACTACCACGTAAGTACAGTGAAACAACTACTTTTCTGTACGAAAAGTGTAAGTATAAATAACATTTTTGTAGGTATAAGGGAACAAACTGTGATGCTTGGGTAATAAGGGGATAACAACCAGATATTTAGCATGAAAAGTACAGCGTAAGTGCAGTGAAATAACGGTGTACTTTTCTTTAAATTACAAAGGAACAAACCATAATGTTTGCTTAATAGGGGGTAACATTTATCATGCAAAGAACCGCGTAAGTATATTTCGTTTACAATGTACTTTTCTTCAAGTATTGTATACATATTGTGTGCATGATAAAGCCTACCATCAGGGTTCAATGTAGATTAAAACAGGCTCGCATCTTTACTGCTGTTTGCAGAGGGGGGATAACTGTTGCATTTCAGTGAACGTATAGATGATGCTTTATAAATAAAATGTAGTAGTTTGGTCTTCAATCAATAAAAAATGCTACTGTAGTTTTCTGTTCTTAGTGTTCAAGTATACATTAGTGTGTTAAAGATCAGCTTCTACCTTCCTTGTTCCCTGTAGTTAAAGGGTAAATAGAGTATTTGTTTCTCGCTTGTTCCCTGTAGTTAAAGGGTAAATACCACATTTGAGGGTTGTAAATTAAAGTGAAGCACTGTTCCTCCCTTGTTACCCCCTTGCTCCCTGTAGTTAAAGGGTAAATACCACATTTGAGGGTTATAAATTAAAGTGAAGCACTGTTCCTCCCTTGTTACCCCCTTGCTCCCTGTAGTTAAAGGGTAAATACCACATTTGAGGGTTGTAAATTAAAGTGAATATATAGGATATAATAAGAATATATATAGGATATAAATATAAAGGATTAAAATATTACAAAACATATTATTTTCTAGCCTACATAAATCAGCAAAACCACTGCTTTTATGTCTTCTTCATCTCGGGAGGCTTTTTCAGTTCATTCATAACAATTTGCTTTTGTATAATGTTATTATTATCAGCAGTATTATTTATTATATCCATATGTATATTTGTTTTATTAAAAACAAGCTTAGATTTGCCCACCTGTCAGGTTTTAGACAATATGGGTCAAAGCATGTGTTTTAGGATATAACTCAGATTTTTGAGCACATTTTGCTATTATTATTCATTTATTCGTTTGTTGGAAATTAGAACTGAATTTAGAAATAGTTTTGAAACAAATATTTGCGCTTAACAAACAAAAGTATTTATAGACTAATTTATGTCTGTGCGTAAAGGTTTCCCTATCCAAGAGCGAAAGTGAAAGTGATCCATTATCCCTCATTCTCACGCAGTAGATGCTCTGTTTAACAGTTTTCTGTTAAAAAACTGTTAACTGTTAACTGTGTTTGTAAAATGCTCATTTTTTCCACTTAGACTTACTTTGCGTCCTGTTAATAGCGAATGCGCTCTTGGCGCGACGCAGCTGACTCTTAAAGGGAATGAGAGATGACACTCTAATTGATTTATTCTTAAAACACACCTATAACTCATTAAGAAAATAAACTCAACCCTTTTAGACCATGCGCCGAAGCGCAAGGCAGATTTCCTGTTCTTAAATTAGCAAAAACGCGTCCTGACACGCCCTGAAAGCATTTGCGCCCTGCGTTTTGCGATTTGCGCATGGACCGTCAAAATAGAGCCCAAATTCTGTGCACATTACCTTACTAAGGTGATGGAATGTAATGGTTTTTATGTGTATAGAAACTGTACTGAAATATACAATATCCAATAAATAAATATACTTTAAAAAGTAATGTAAACAGTTATATGAAGAGAGGCTAACTAGCTAACAATGTAGCTTTTAAGAACACAATTCAAGATAACAACAATATAACTTAAAACAGCCTTATTTTAGAAACCCTCAAAAACATTTGAACACATTTTACTTACTCATTGTAAACTCTTATTTAAAGCCTAAAACATATTAGACAACATCTGAATTGATAGACAGAGAAAAGAGCACACTTAGCAGTAAACAAATCAAACACCTGACTCCCTTAAAGGGCCAGCATTTTCTTGAAACTTTTTCCAACACCTTTGTTTTTAGAATAACAGACAGCCTGTTGAGGGTGTAGTGATGCTTAAATCATTGTTTTCTGCCTTTAAAATATAAGTCTCTGTAAATAGCAACATAAAGCATCAGAGTAGATAGGACATTAATGGTTGAACAGTAATTTGCCATTTATTGTCACAGGTACTGCCTGTAATGTGTAAATAAAGTAAATTACTGTAGTTTATTATTTGCACTACACAATTTCATACAAATCCTGCTCTTTTTACAGTATATATATATATATTGAAAATATTAATTAAATAATATATAAAATATAAAAAGCAACATAAAGCATCAGAGTGGATGGGGCAGTAATGGTTCAACAGTAATTTACCATTTATTATCACAGTAAATATCTGTAATAGGTACATAAAAGTTACAGTTACAGTTATTTACTGCATAATCTACGGTATGGGTTGACAGTGTACACAATCACTCTTCAGCATAGCCTTCTCCTAGTCTTGCTCCTGTGCAAGCATACTCATCTTACACAGTATTTTTAACACATGCTGGCATGTTTGCTGCAAATACTACATACATTTTGAGAAGAGAAAATTAACTGCTTTACACTCGAAAAATACTTCACACTGAGAGAATAAAATCTTCAGTATTTACCCTTTAACTATAGGGAACAAGGGGGGCACAATGGAGGAACAATGCTTCACTTTAATTTACAAACCTCAAATGCGGTATTTACCCTTTAACTACAGGAACAAGGGCGGAACAATGCTTCACTTTAATTTACAACCCTCCAATGTGGTATTTACCCTTTAACTACAGGGAACAAGGGGGTAACAATGCTTCACTTTAATTTACAACCCTCAAATGTGGTATTTACCCTTTAACTACAGGGAACAAGGGAGGAACAATGCTTCACTTTAATTTACAACCCTCAAATGTGGTATTTACCCTTTAACTACAGGGAACAAGGGGGTAACAAGGGAGGAACAGTGCTTCACTTTAATTTACAACCCTCAAATGTGGTATTTAGCCTTTAACTACAGAGAACAAGGGGGGAACAAATATTCTATTTACCCTTTAACTACAGGGAACAAGGAGGGAAGAAGCTGATCTTCAACACACTAGTGTATACTTGAACACTAAGAACAGAGAAAACTACAGCTCATTTTTTTATTGATTGAAGACCAAATTACTACATTTTATTTATAAAGCATCAGCTATACGTTCACTGAAATGCAACAGTTAGCCCCCCTCTGCAAACAGCAGTAAAGATGCGAGCCTGTTTTAATCTACATTGAACCCTGTTGGTAGGCTATATCATGCAAAGTTATTTGTTGATATTGAGTTATGGAGACATTGATGCCTGTGGTGAGATCAACGAGTGAACATTCATAATGTAAGTAGTGTATGAAAACATATTTTATATTGAATTGCAGATTTAAAATACATACAGTGTACAATAAGGGTTCATAATTTTACAGGTTGTAAACCTTTTATTCATTAAACACCCCATATAAAACCCAAGCACTGGATAAGAGTACTAATATACTTACGCAGGTGCATGTACATTTGCAGGTTGCATTAGGTTGTCACCACCCTTGCATAATTCTTCATATGTATACAATACTTAAAGAAAAGTACATCTTAAACGAAATATACTTTCGCGGTTCTTTGCATGATAAATGTTACCCCCCTATTCAGCATACATTATGGTTTGTTTCTTTGCAGTTTAAAGAAAAGTACCCAAGCATTTATTATTACCCAAGCATTACAGTTTGTTTCCTTATACCTACGCAAACGTTATTTATACTTATACTATACATACAGAAAAGTACACCGTTATTTCACTGTACTTAAGCGGTAGTTTTTGTGTTGAATATCTGGTTGTTACCCCCTTATTACCCAAGCGTTATGGTTTGTTCCCTTATACCTACAAATACAATCATTATACTTATACAATACGTACAGAAAAGTACAGAGTAATTTCACTGTACTTACGCGGTACTTTGCGGGTTGTAAAAGAAAGCGTTAACTAAAATGTTTAATTAATACCACATATTACCACAAGAATTCTACAGGAGTATTACATACTAAACAACAGAATCCTGTGGTAATACAGAAAAGTTATAGTGATCTCAATTTGATCTAAAGTGCTATCAATTTAAGTGGATGACGTAATGTCTTAAAGTCCGGTGATGATGACCTCTGCTGGCTAGCGAGGGGAATGACTGGG